TGTGTTTGCTGTTGGTTGGGAAAAGAAATTAATAAATAAATAAAATAAATAAATATGAATTTTTTATCATGAATTTTGGACTTTTGCACCGAAGAACTAAGATAGCGACGCAATCGTTATCGTTGTTTTTCAAGGCTGCTCTACCTTTCTATGGGGTTAACATAAACTATGAGGCGCCAAGTGTAAAATTATTATTTAACACAATTATTTATACATAATTCATTATTTAACATATAATGGAATGGATCACCCATTATTTATATATAATGCATTTACATCTGAAAGATTATATGTAAATAATTTCGTTAACGTTTTTAATTTATTATTTATATTATAATTAGTTTACTGATTTCATTATAATATGAAAGGGTAAACAAACATTATTTATATATAATAAGGTTACTGTTTTTATTATATATAAATATGGAAAGGGTAACACATCACTATATATAAATAATGAAAAGTAACTTACAATTATTTATATATAATAAGTTCACTGATTCCATTATATATAAATAATGAAAATTAACTTACAGTTATTTATATATAAGTTCACTGATTCCTTTATATATAAATAACGAATTGACTTTAAACTCATTATATATAAATATAATTTAGCCCCTCCGTCGGGCAGATCCTGGCTCCATCACTGATTGAATTTGCTGTACTGCAAATCTCAAATCAATTGAGAGAACCCCATAGTGAACGCCGCGGCCCTCAGGAATCTCAATTTGAGTCTGTCGCCGCCGGGGCAATGTCCGGGGAAATGTCCGGATCAGCTACTGGTGGTAGGCATAGTACCGAGGTTCATCAACACCCAGCGTCTACGCCGAGGGGGAATACTGTTTGTTATTACACATTTTTATATGTATTAACATTTTAAATATTATAATGTAGGTCTCATACACTATATCCATAGGCCTGTATACGAGCATTGTGCGAATAATTAGTAAGTAGGTCTGTAATTGTAAGTTACTTTTCATTATTTATATACTGTATAATGATGTGTTACCCTTTCCTTATTTATATATAATGAAACCAGTAACCTTATTATATATAAATAATGTTTGGTTACCCTTTCATTATTTATATATATAATGAAATCACTAAACTAATTAGGCCTATATATAAACAATGAAAACTTTAACGGAATTATTTACATGTAATCTTTTAGACGTAAATACATTATATATAAATAATGGGTGATCTATTTAATTAGGCCTATATGTTAAATAATGAATTATATATAAATAATTGTGTTAAATAATAAATTTACACTTGGCGCTTCATAATTAACGGTCACATTATTGATTGGCATGGCATTATTGATGAACTTCTCAGGAAATCAAACGTTCTATGCATATGATAAGGTCTTGCAAATGTAAATTATCTGAATGCCATATCAATGTCAATAATAATGTTACTGCGACACCGAGGCACTGTAGTGCGAGTTTTATGTTTGTATCCAATGGTGTACCGTCTTTTGACGAGTATCTGAGAAACTCTATACATAGTTTCAGGAACCGTGTGAAAATCAGCCCTAATTCAATCGTTTTGGCTATTAAGCATTATGCTCTTTCCAATTCTAAAATGTATAATAAGTGGAACACTGTCGTCCATTAAGATGATTTCCTGATCTTGATGTTTTCCTTGATGCAGTCTATTTTTCACCTTTGTCTTATATTTATATGCATTTGTATTGGTTTAACTGTTGTTCATTTGTATGGACATGAAATTCCGAAATAAAAGATGAATGAATGAATAATAAGGCCAAGGTGTCGAAACCCAGTTTGCCAAATGCCAGAATGCCAGATTGCTGAGTCCACTTTGTCGAAACTCAGTTAAAAACAGTAAAACAATAGCATAAAAATCACGATGACGCACTATCTTGCCATTAATTATTCATATAATAAATAGCGGCTTATTGTAGTTTTTATTGTAGTAATTATTCTTTTTTGTCTTATTCTGTAAATCAAATTAGACTAATAATTCGGCTATTAGCCAAAAAAATAATTAAATAGGCCTATCAAATGAAATGTTTAATAAGCACCAATACATAGTTTAACTTGGATAATTATATGTTACCTTAAAGGAAATAAGTAAATGAATAATAATCTACAATTAAGCTGCATTCACATCGGATCCGAACCGAGATTCGGACAGTGTCCAATGCGCTAACGAAAAGAATTAACGTTCCACAACGAAAGGTTTGTTCACACTCGTTCCGATCCGTTATTTTTTCTTAATACGCGTGTGATGAACTGCTAGTAGCCGCTCTCAATTCCGAAAAGAAAAACCAAAAAAAAAAGGAAATGTATAAATGATATTAATCCTGAAATAGAAAGATATGGGCAGTTCACCACCTTAATAATGAAGGAACTGAGTGACTTCAAATTAAGATGAATCTTACGATTATGTCCGGACGTCGCCAAGGCAATTTGAAATGTTATATAACTTGTGAAGATATCCAGAAGAACACACATTTTCGAGATAACATTTCTTCTGCAAGTCTTTCGATTTGCTTGAAGTATGTATACATAATATCATACAATTAATGTATATACTGTATCACAATATTATATACTATTACAAAATATAATATATATTGTGATGATATTAATTTTTCTTATATTTTTTGAAAAATTTACATGATTTTAATAATCAATTTACTGCTCACAGATTGATTTAATTTATTCTTAGTATGATCTGTGCAGACTTCGGCCAAATTTGTTCCCTTTCTTTGCCTCTTGTCGGCACCCCTGTTCAACCTTTTTTGTTGAAAGATTGAAAATAATAATAAATTAATAAACCACGTTAATATTTATAATTAAAATACTACAATATTGATATTTAATGATAATAATGATGATACAAAAAATACGGCAAAAAAATAGTTTATGCAAAAATGCTATCTACTCATGTTATATTAATTTTTTAGATTTCTTGACACCGGAGATTCCTACTCATCGCTCTACTACAATTATAGAGTGGGAAATTCAATTATAAGTGGGATCGTGTCCGAGGTTTGTGAGACGACGTGGAATAGACTGCAACCCGTATATTTGGCTGTGCCATCGAAAGAGGAATGGCAAAACATTGCTGAGAAATTTCGTCAACGCTGGAACTATCCAAACGCCATCGGTGCAATTGATAGGAAACATATTGTGATATTCGCTCCAGAATCCAGGGTTCCCTGTTCTTCAATTACAAATCAACGCATTCCATCGTTCTCATGGCACTTGTCGACGCTAATTACTGCTTTACATTTGTAGATATATCGGGAACTATGGGTCCAACAGCGATGAGGGGATTTTCAACAACGGAGCTTGTCAAAGCACTATACGATGGAACACTGCATATCCCAGAAAACAAATATCTTCCAGGCGCACCTGAACTAGGAGAGATGGATGCCTCACGTTATAGTTGGTGACGAATCCTTTCCATTAAAGGAAAACGTAATGCGTCCATACCCGGGAAACCATTTGGAAGATGACAAATTTACATTTACATTTACAATTACAGACTTAGCAGGGCCAGGAGAATATCAGAGAATGCTTTTGGCATTTTGGCCGCCAAATTCCGCATTTTCCATAGGATGATAAATCTAAAGCCGAGCAATGTGTGAAAGCAAGTTGTGTCTTGCATAATTTTATTCGCAAAACCTCTGATTATGGCCTTAGACGATGCCAAGATGATATTTGCTGATTTAAATCTCCGTGAAGGATTAGCGAACCTGAGGGCTGTAGGCAACCACCCAGCCAAAGAAGCAATAATATTATTCCGTGATACCTTCTAGCGATACTTTATTAAAACAGCTGGACAAGTGGCTTGGAAAAGCCAATCGTAATTTAGTCATACTGTATAAGCTTACAAACCAAGTAATGTAAAACATAAAACCGTGATTGAGAATACTAGAATGTTTTATTACCCTTTTAGATTAATACTGTATATAAACTAGTTCTGAAAACAATTACATGGAATACAAGTATCAAGGAAACTGACGAAATTGAGTTTCCTAATTTAAATCACTGTGTTTTCAATAAATTAATCAAATACAATAAAAAAAAATAATATACGATCATTAAAGAAAAGAAATGCATTTCTTTGAATTTGTAATTTTCATTCTATTTTTTAAAAATTAATATCTACTGCTCTGTCATATTTCTTGGTTCAATTTCGTTGATAATTTTGTTTATTTTCTGACTTTGGACTGACTTTGAAGATAATTGAATATCTTCTCTGTAACTGAGTTACAGAAATGTGCCGACAGGCCGCCTGAATTAAGGGGCTCTAGCCAGGACCATGGCATAAAAATCCCTTGTAGGGTTCGCAGGTAGGGTTTTTAGGGGATGCTTGATACTTCATTTATTTCTAATTTTAACATAGCCATGCCTTCAAATATGTTTTCGCACAACATTGGTGTTTTTCGGTATTTTGCCTTTTAATCTATATATAAACACGGCTCCTCCCTGACCTACCCATCATTTTTCAAAAGCACAGTGTGGTACCCTACAAACTGGTCGGATACCATTATAAAGCAGATTAATATGCCAAAATTGTCATAATAGAAAGGTAAGATTAAAGATTAAAAGAAGATTAATTATTCCCCTATTTCCCTCCCCTAATTATTCCCCATTTTACAAATAATATTTGAAATTCGGTTGGCTCCTGGGAACCCGCAACTGCCAGCGCAGCGCCGGTACCGGCATTAACTGATCATTTATGGAGGAATATATTGCTCCATGGCTAGGCCTATTCGGCTCACAAGGGCTCGGCTCACAAAATAACAGCGTAACTTACTTAAACAAACGTTTGCGTACATATTTATCCATATGCAAATACAAGTGAAATATTAAATTATTAGGTTAATAATAGATAGGCCTAGTAGGCTTATGTCTTGAAACTGTTGACTATCGTGATGTGCTATGCGCATGAGTATCTGAGCTACAAGATTATTCTTATTATCACTTATTGTTGTAGCCGCATCGATTTTATACGGGTAATGATCAGTTCTTCCACGGCAGTGCAACATTAGGGGACTAGTAGGAAGTGGAACATTTTAATATATATTTTAGGTTCGTTTTAGCTTTATAATTCTTAAATTTCTATATCCTAGCTGTTTTCAAAATCAACACAACCGTGTCAACTAACTGAGAAGTGTTTTCCGACAGGTAAGCGCCTTAAAACAATGTTCAGCTAAAACTGGTGTATTCCATTTTTTTTTCTATCTTTAGTTTATATGCATGAAATTGGTTCATTTATTAGTATAGGTTTTTCGCATAAAATGGGCCTACATTCCCTTGTTCACTGTGCACTCTCGACAGCTTTCTTTCAGCCGTGTCATAAATATAGTTTAAAATAGGCTTAAAACAGCTAATGACACGCGTAAAAAGGGTACAAAAATGAAACATTTAAAAGTGGATTCATATTTAGATTGTTCCACATTCATTTACATTTAGTAATGGGATTGCTTCTCACTTACTTTTAATTAAACTGTGTTTATAATTTGAGGACTACTGAGGTCTCGTTGCTTCTGGATTCTGTTTTACTATTAATCAAATTTAAATGTAGGTCTATGAAGCTTTGTTATGGCAGCAAATACTGGAATTACTACGGTTGTCCAGCAACCTGTGACCGAACCGGTAACGTTCAAAATTCGTCAACCCCTTAAGAGGAGCTCTGTGAAATCCACCGCCATAGTCCAAATTGTTTTTGCGACCTTTTGCATAATTTTGGGATTCTGGATAGCTGCAACAAATATTACCAATGAAAGAAGAAGAAATGCAGGCATTTCTCTTGTGACTTTAAGTATATGGGTAAGTAATATGTAAGTCATATTCTTTGGATATTGTTGATATCCTTTTGATAATGACTTCTGACCTAGGTTCACCCGATATTCATATGATTTTCTGTTCATAAGGCTAATATTCACAAGGTCTGCTAATCATAATTTTAAAAGGTTTTTGGTTATATTATAAAGATGGGTTTGCTAAAGCAATTAAGAGGGTTTGACTTAACACAAGCACTGTTAGATGTTCGTTAGTCATAATATTCTGCAGATTATTTTAAAAACCTTATGAAATTATTTAAATGACAGAAACGTGTCGTACGATTACATTACTGTGACTTGTTTATCTCCTATTACGTCCCATAATAAACCCATATTTAAGAAACTAAATAATATTTTTAATGTTTTTACCTTCATAAAATTCAGATCTTGTCCCTTTTGTACCAATATGAGAAACAAGTATTACCAATTTAATTTTCAAATACTTTTTGTAAACGTAATACAAAAATGCCTATGATTTCAGAAATATAAAAAGACAGACATTCCTTTTGCAAGAACAAAAAAACCAAAAAAATCAGCCTGAAAGCAATTTGTAAACAAGAAAATACATTTAGTGTGAGATTTTACCAACAAAGGATAATGATTTTATAATCATGAACCCCCGATGAAAGCCTATAATAAAATGGGACTTAAAAGCAGGCATGTTGTTCTATTACCTACTACAAGCATTTTCGTAGACTTTTGGCCAATTTATCTTATTATCGTTTTTATGTTATTTTCTTAAGACTATAATATTATTTTGACAGAGCTAGCGGTGCACAGTCGTCGAGTCTAATGTCGGTTCGACTTGTTAAAAAATCTGATTGTATTTGTTGTTAAAAGATATTACAAACTTTTAAGGTGGTCGCTTGCGGGAGGTAAATCATAAGAAAAGTGCAAAAGTCAAAAAAGTGGTCGCGGTCGTACTGATTAGATAGGGAGAACAAACTGGATCATATGAGAGCGGACGTTAAGGGTGGTAGGCCTATCGCTTACTGGAGGTGGTCGCACAGGGAGGTTAAATAGTATTATACCGGGGAAGACTTAATTTACATTCATCTCTGATTATAACAAATAATACTGTGATCAATTGCAGTGCTTTCATTTGCTACCTCGATACAGGTAACCAGTGAGTTACTGTGATTGCAACAAAATGTTTTTTATTTCAACTTTAATATTTCTGTGCACACATTCGAGATTTCTAGATGACATGGCGTACGTGCCGGTCTCAGGCTAGGCTTACTCAGTTACTGTGTAAATCATAATAAAAGAAGAGTGGCTTACATTTCATATAAGCCTAGGCCTATATTATTTTTTTCAGATTATCTATCGTTTGGTACTATAATCGAGATATTTTATTTTTTTATTTTTATTAATTTGATGGAGATCAGGACCTATCGACCGCCCCTACCTCTGGCTGCGCCCCTGAATCACATGCAGATATATAAATGAATTAATTATTATTTGAGTTGGTATTTCAGCTTAAACAATGTTTTCAAATTTGACTGTCTCTTCATCTTTAGGTTAAACCAAAAATGCAGTGTTTTTCCAATGAAATACGTAAACAGTCTACCAAAGAGTTTTACCAGGATAAAGTTAGTCCCTGAGATTACGTTAAAATTAACCTGTGAGGTTAATGAAGAATTCATCGAAGCTGAACTTGATGGTATTTTCGAAGATTTAAAAGATGGAGCAAGTGCTATTAAGAAACAAATTGTATTTATTATTAATCTCCCCATTAGGTGTCACACTCTCGACTTTAAAAACTCAAAAATCTATCCTGTTTTGAAATGATCGTAAAAAATTCTGGCGTCCAATTAATATACTCACCTCTATCTCAGGATTCGGGAAAGCCAAATGATTGAGTATTTGAAAAGAAGAACTTATATATGAATTACAATTGGGTTTTCCACAGACTAATGTCTAATACGGCCAAGGGTGGAAGTCCCCGACGACAGCAAAATGAGCATGGTCAGGCGCGGCTCCAAATTTTTCGAAACTTTGGGGTTTTAAAGGCTTATTTAATCGATAAAGTGTCTACTAATAGGCCTATGTAGAAAATACATACAGCTTTTTTTCCCTTCCCGACGAACTGTGGTTTTCTCCCCGAGGGGGAGGGGAGGTGGCCGGCATTTCACTCAGTAAATCACAGAATTTTACCCGGAAAACTTGAATGTCTTAGATGTTATTAACTGGTTCAGGTCCTATCTACAAAAAGAAATTGTTCAGGTAAATAATCTGACATAGGCCTAGTTAAGTGTGGAGTCCACCAAGGTAATTACTGTACCGTATCTTATCTATGTGAACGACATGGTTAGCAGTATTAATTCTGACTGTATATACCTCTGCTATATACAGACGATAGCGCAAATATTCCCATAAAGACCAATTTCTATCGCTAACAAGCTAAAGGAAAAGTCTAGAACAATGTCAGCGGTTGTTAGTTAATAACAAACTATTACTACATCTTGTAAGACAGATAGTATCATATTTGGAACAAAAAATGAAAACAATGAGAAATTTGAAGCTGAAAATTTTGCCAACAAATCTTAATAAAGGTTAAAGGTTATTCATTTATATTGCGCAAAATACGAGAGTACCTAAAACCTTCATCAGCTAGCTGGGTGAATAGATCTGGGGAAGAAAAATAATTATCCATATAGACATGATGTTTCTTACCTTTGATTGGTTGAAAAAGATTCCTAACTGTCACATGTGTGGCGTTGTGGCGTTGGGTTGGTGATTCTCAGTACAGTATACATTTTCAAACTGAATACGTATCCAGTCTTAAATTGTGATGCCAGACGTATTAATACTTTAATAATCCTACGCAATAAATATGTTAAATAGTGTTGCGATAATGAGGAAATCTGATTATATTACATCTATATCCAGCTGTTCTCTGATTCAACTAAGTTTAAAAAAACTATCTAAATGTTCATTAACCCCACAGCTTAACTCCTTACAAGCCTACCTACGAACACTTTTTAATAGACAAGAACTGAGTTTTAATACGAAAAATTCGTCCAGTATCAACCATGCCTGCTAGAGCTCATGATCTACCTAATTTACACAAGGATACAGTATTGATAATATTTCACCTCTAAGACCTATTATTGACACAACCAGCACTTGTAATATTCAGTAGCTAAGTTCTTATCTAACTTATGAGGGCATCTATCTGTGAATAGTACTTAAAAATGCGTTTGATGCTGCTGACCGTATTAAAGTATTAAAGATATACCTGACCATTTATATAATTTTGGTTACCGTTTTGTATCTTTTGATGTTAAATCTCTGTTTACAAATATTCCCCTTACTAAGGTAATTAATATAATTCTTGATAGGGTTACAATAAGAAATTGATATCTACTAATCTTAAGAAAAGTACTTTAAGGAAATTAATTAGGGATTGCGGTACTAAAACTGTATTATGTAATAATGAATTTTGTAAACAAACTGACGGTGTTTCAGGGTTCACCCCTTGGACCAGTTTTAGCTAATATTTTAATGACTGAACTAGAAGAGTCTATTGTTCCTAAATTTATAGAATCAGGTATTATTAAGTTTTATACTCGTTTTTTTTACGACACACTAGTACTAACTAAACCTAATGATTTTCATCACATCCTACGTCACTTTAACGCTTTTCATAAACAGATTAATTTTACCTTTGAATAATTTGAAAATTGTGATATAGTACATTTTTGGATTTACAATTTGACAACAGTGTAGGAAGCATGAGTATATATTGTAAAAATACACACACAGGTCAATAAATCCATTATGATGGCTTTGCTCCATGGAACCATAACATTTCTTGGGATTCGTAGTTTTATTTCAAGAGCCCACAAATTGTGTACTCCCGATAAAATTCAAGCAGACTTAACATTAGAAAATTTATGTCGTGGAATGGGTACGGTACCCTTTAAAAGTTGTAAACCATGTACTCAATAAATTAAATGAACCTAGATGTAAACATAGCCTACTGATGATAGCTTGATTAAGATTTGGGTTAGATTGCCTTATCTATCAAAAACAGGTGAATCCATTTTACGTAGATGCTTAAACAAAGAAATAATTAGTTAAAGAGGTAACATTCATAACTTTACGGCAGTACAAAAACGTTTCTCATTTTATATCTAGTAAAGATCAAACCCCTATAGGAGTATTAGGAGTTCTGTTGTTTATCATTTTAAATTTCCAGGTTGTAATAGTGATTATATTGGTAAGATAGATAGATGCTTAATAACTAGACAGAACATTCTTCACGATCTGATAGTAAATCATATCGCATACATATGATCATATATGCAATTGTGAGGCAGTCCAATGTGTTTTAGGTTTACAAGGTATGAAATTAGGTTTAATATTTTCTAATGATAACATTGACAGTTCTCAAAACTGTTCTATCTAACTTATTGTTTGCAGAAGCGTTTGCTATACCCATTGCTTAACAATGGGCTTAAAGCTACAAAGGAGCTTTCTTTGTTTTTTTATAGGTAGCTTTTGATCAGTAGCTTTGATCAGTAAGAATGCTTTGATCTTTAGTTTACTCATAGCTATGTCACCTACTAGAGGTAATGTATTGGTTAAACACTTTTGGTATTTGTGCATAAGCTAGCAAATATGGATAATGTTTCATTCCCGATTATGACATAATTAACTTCGAAATATTGAATTCTGACACAATGGCCTGCAATTCGATACTTGGTGTATTCATAGAGGTAAAAAAGTGTATTGTAAGCCCTACTATCTTATCTGAGGTTAAGCAGTGGAACTTACGTTAGCCAGTGTCCAGGCTGTCATCCCTCGTTTGAGGCTCCTTTGGATGGGTGCATGCATTTAATGATGCTTTGTTCTCTGCCTTTATTATTAACTTTTTAATCCATTTATATTGTTCTCTTTTTATCATGCTGCTTTTTTTTTTATTATTAGAATAGATGGGATTGGGACACCCATTGGAAATAAGTGGTTTTTCCACTTTATGGGTTATTCCTAGTTTCACTTTTAGCTGAATGTTTTCTAATGATTTTAATCTCTTAAGTAATTATTTTTACATAGTGCTTTAGAATTTCTTTTTGAATTATAATTGCTTTGTGTTTGTTTTTAGATTCTTTTCATAATTATTTTCCTGTATTTTAAAGTGGAACCAAATAAATTCAAATCAAATCAAAGATAATATAAGTCATAGTAAAGGGTTCGCAAGTCACATATTATTATCACTAGCAAACCACCATTTTCTAATTCCATGAATAGAAATCCCTTTATAAAATAATATTATGGCTAGCAAATTATGTGTAGCTGCTCTCATTTTCACGACTAGCAATATTTTCTTGATTATGACTACTGGAGAACTATTGGACAGAAAGAAATGGAGAAAGAGGCTAGCTCCACTGACAGGCGTAAGCCTACATGGGTCCTGAAGTAAGTAAGAATTATGACTACCGAATCTATATAACAAGCGGACCTTATGAATATAGCGAAACTTATGATGACTACGACAAGGTATTTTTTGTAGCATCATAAATACTGTACCGGTACGTATTTATAACGTAATTTCAAACTAAATAACTTGGTGTTACCATTAGTTTCCATTTTGTGTTACCATTAGCTTAAAGTGAAACGCAAAGCACACAAAGTTCACAACGATTTCCTTTTGCTATAGAGTACCACAGTCGTGTCGCCACGACGCCAGGTGGCGCTCTCTGTTGTCAACAAACGTTGGTTACCGTTCATTACGCCTGAATGACTTCATAGGCTTTCTGGAATAGGCATTTTAAAATCAAATATTTTACCATCAAAATGTACTAAAAACACAAAAGCTCGCATTATATTACTTATCAAACACGCATTTAATCAATCAAAATTTACAAAAAAAATTAAGACAACATCCTAATAATTAACGTTAACCACTGGGATCAGTGGTTTGCCATTGAAGAAAATGGCGTCAGGTTGAACGCTTTTTGCAACAGTAGCAGCGAAGTAGTATCACGTGGTATCATGACGTAACACTATAGCAGAGTCGGAGTAGGAAATATCTTTTTTTTTCTGTCAGACTCGACAGACGATGCGACAAGAACCTTTTTTCAGCTTAGGCACTGAATATTTAAGGCTCTTTAATTATTTTTGATTTAAAAATGATAATTAGAAATCTTGCAGTTATATTAAATGTTATTAATTTGTTTTATTTCCTTTCTCTTTCACTACAAGCTGTACATTCCTTCAGGAGCAGTCGGTCTACGAGCAGCCTCCAACAATAACATATGTGCAGTAAGTTTTTCCCCATTTGATCGTCCGATCATTGTGCAGATAAAACCACTGACGCCACTGTATGCAGTTTACAAAAGCCTGAGCGAAGTCGCGTTGTTAAGTGACGTCGATCATGCGTCTGTTTTCGCTTGCGCTTTTTTTAAACTGTAATAAAGTCCTCCGGTCATACGATTCTGCACTTTTGTGTCTGTCATTTTATTCGTCTGATTTATTTATGCCTACTTGTTTGTACAGTGCACCCTCCAATTCGAGACCCCTCTAATTCGAGACCACGAATTGGAGGGTGAACTGTATCTATGGCAACGATTTCTACCCTCTCCAAACGGGCCGCCAAAAGTGTTTATACATTCACTGTGATGTAAGTTTTGTAGAGGTTTTTTCATGCATTTCAGTGGAACGGTTTTTTTCTGTGGAGAACTCTATCTTGTGTGAGATTAGCCTATTTGAAAAGTAATCTTTACCTTAAATTTAAATGTATTATTAAAAGGTTTTGCTAGAATCGTTATTTAAAAAAATAATTTAACAAATGCCAAAAAACTTGTCTAAACTGGTACTTCACTTAGCCCCAACCCCCAAACATGGCGTCGGTGGCTTCACTAAAACCAGCCAATGAGCAATCTAGCTATCATAGAAGAGGTCAGTGGTTGCACGTATGTGTAGCAAGAAACTAATAGTAATAAAATGTCGAATCAAACCTCAAACCTACTGTTGAGCCTCTTATTTTGTTTTTAATTCGCTCTGGTTTTAATACATCGAGTATGTTATGTGTATTTTTAAATTACTGTGGCATCTGAAATATTTGAAAACATGAAATTAAAAAGTCCTGGTTTTTCCCAAGTAATAATTTATTTTGTGGTTTTTATAGGTGGTGGCTTATCAGACGATGTCCTTATTCGGTTGTATCACCTCTGTTTCTCAGTCACTGTACTTTTTTATACAAATCTTCGTGCCACGCAAAGTAAGTATTGAATAAATACGGTATTCTATTACCAGAATCGGGGAACGTGCCACTAAATTTTTAAAATCTCAGTGCATATTATAATGATGTTATGTGCTATAAACCTACTCAGTTATCTATTCTGAAACTGTTGTGCCATCCCCACCCCTCCCGCCTCCCCGTTTGGAAAAATTGTGGATCCGTTTGGACTAATTACGAGCGATACAAATCGTCGCTATTCCCAACCGAAAATACGCTTAAATCACTTTCGAGATTGAAAAGTTGCACTTTTTCGGTGGAAATTTCCGACCAGAAAAAAAAAATCGTAACAGAATTTTTGTTTGTATTTATTATATAAATAAATACATTGTAATTATAAATCACAATGTTTGTATTATTCTCATAATTAATTATTAATTAGGTAATTAACATATTAGTCAGTTCGTGAGAACATTATTTACGACACCATTGACATTTTATGCCGTATTCGACGGATATTTTAAATTTGTCTAGCCCATAGGATTAAATTGGGCTGTTTGAAATAATTATTACGTAGGCCTATATGTTCAAGTATGTCAAATTTGTGAAGATGTAGTATTCCCTTGAATTGGGCTATTAAATATTTGTTAAAAATCAATAATCACATTACCTTAGCCCGTTCTCTTTAATGTTGTTAATGTTGATTTGATTCAGAATATACCGTTATAACTAAGCATTATTTTTTGTTTTATTATACAGTTGGTTTCAGATATTTTTACGTTCATTTGCACTTTAGCCGTATGTATTGCTGCTGGCAGAGGAACAAGCATAGTCCAAAAATCTACTGGCTGCTGTTGCGCAAAGTATCCCGCTCAAACAGAGCCGGTATGCCAGCTTTTACAATAGTAACAAAGATCTGAATAGTAACAATAACAGTAATAACAATAACATGATAATAACAATAACAAGAGCACTCGGTAGAGAGCATATCTCCACCCACCACAAATTCCTTTCTATAAAATATATTCTATATA